CAGCACCGTGAGCAGCCCTGCAGAGCCCACACATGCTGGAGGTGTTCAAAAAGTGACATGTCCTTCTAATGGGATGGGACACAGTGGCATGGGGACTCACAGTGAAAGACTAGAAACACGTGCAAAACACAAATTCACTCACTGATTTCAGTTTCACCCACTCTAGGCAATTGTACACATGAATGCATTATTTTAAGACAAGTATTTTCTTGAGGGTGTAAATTTAGCAAGGCTAAAAGGGGTTCATTTCTTTAAGCAAGTGGCTGGATATTTCTGATCGCCTGGGGACTGGGGTAGAAGCACTCGGCCATGGCTACCCAACAAGCAAGAGGGATCAGCACCAGCAAATGTAGTAGGGAGAGAATCAAGAGCTTCTTGCCTTGTTCGAGCATTTATTAGAAAAATGTCCCCTGCAAGTCCTTCTTGATCAGATAGTCTATAAATACACGTAAAAGGTGCTACTGTACCTAGTCAAGTCATAGAGGAGTTGTGACAGTTGGTGAAGGACTTGTGATAAATGTAAGGGCAGCTGGGAAAGCTCTGAAACACAGCTCAGCCTGTCCAGGCTAATCTAGCTGAGCTGGGCTTCTTTGAACAAAACACTTAAGTAGAAAAATAATGCATGAGGCCTTAAAAATTGCCATTTATTGGCTCCAGAACATCCACATTCAGCTCTTTCTGACTTTCCCTGTGCCGCATGAAAAAACTCAAGTCAAATAGCATCCAGGTAAACTTATAAATGGCAAAATAAATCCTTTGTAGGTGAAAAACAAAAATAGCTTCGAAGAAGGATGCATATAACCTTGTTAATTTGCCAAAAGTTTTCAATCTTCATCACTTTTGAAGCAAGGTTAAGAGACTAGATAAAGGTTGAGAAATTCAGAAGGTGCTCAGATATACCTTTATCTCAGGTTCAGAGCCTTAAACCTCAGAAGCAAAACAGTGTCAGGGAGAAGAGATTGACAGTGATGCCTTGTGTTGGGAATCAAGGGTTGGAAGGACTGCCTGTACTAGGCAAGATACTATCATGATAATGATGCCAGTAAGATGTAATTTACCAGTCTGTTCTAGGAAAGGTAATGACCTTAATATCATGGGGAATTATCAAGAGGTCATCCATGCAGACATACACTGATTTATTTTCATAATAAATGGAAATAAACGTCCAGCTACATAAATTTGCTTGCAGGAATGAATTTATACCATCTATCCAGCTTTGTGTTTAGTATCAGAAGAGCCTAAGAACATTTTATTGATATGTGGGGATTTAATTCCAACCCCTTTGAGAATCTCTGCAGAAAAACATTTCAAATTCATTTCTAACCAGACCAAAAAAAAAATATCCCCAAAGCTACCAAAGATGTAATGGGGAACAACATCACATTGGAATAGGGATGCACCATTTTATCCTAAGCACTGTTCATTTGCTGCTGTGCTATAGATGAAGTACTACATAATGGCTCTGTTAGTAGAGGAGAGTGCTTACATATGCGTTACCTAAGGATATGCTCTTTCTGGCTGAGTAATTAATTTTTGAGAAGCATATTTCCGAGAAGGTGAAAAGTGAGTGACTAAATACCAATCCGGCAGCCACTGTGGAAACCTGGCTGTGTTGCGCAAACCCTGCTGCTCCAAACCCTGGAGGTCCCTAGGTCCCAGATGCTGAGGACAAGATTCCTTCACAGATGGGAATTATGCTTTCTCTGTCCCCAGAAGTGTTGGCACAGCTAATTTGACTGGAGAAGACAAAAGCATGGTTATCATGCAAGAAAACATGGAAAGGAAAGAGTCCAATGAACCAGCCCAAATGGAGATGACGGCATAGCATGGGAGACGAGAGCTGCCACGTACACGTGCCACGTGCACACCATGTAGTTTAGCTCAAGATTTCTCAAGCTGGGCTGCAAGCAGTGAGTCACAGGCAGAGAGGAGGGATATTTATGGGATTTTGGTTCTTCAGAGGAAAAAATATGAAACAGTCAGAAATGACAGAGAAATGAGAGTGCTGGATGATGGCAAACAACATATGGGGAACAGGGGAGAGGGAGCTTTTGGCATCATTGCCGCAGTGTACATCCCAGCGTAACTCATATTGATCTCCGGGGGCCAGTTCATTTCTACTGGAAGAATCTGGCTTCTGGGACTCCAGGTACAAAATGAAAAACTCTCAATTTCTAGAGCACCAATGTTAGTGTTTGCCAAGTGTTTTCTCTTTTCTATTCCTCCCACCAAGTCTTTTTTTTTTTTTTTTTTTTTTTTTTTTTTTTCCCTTTTAGGGCCAGTGGGAGATTTAGCAGAACAGGCAGTTTTCCAGCAGGCTTAATTTTAGAAGTTGAACTGATCAGATGATTTAAGATTTGTCAGATGAAGTTAGCATTTGCTTATCCACTCTATAGTCTGAATTCTGCTGGGATTTTGTCTGTATAGGTGCATGTCTGGGTATACACAGACATAGCAGTTTTTAATTCATCATAGAGGTACCAAGGCTATTTTCTGTTTTAAAAGCACAGGGAGGCTATGTTAGGTTAGACATTCCTCTTAAGCAGCTACTGATGACACTGATTTCCAAATATGTTGTGCTTTACTGTCTGGAAACTAAATGCTCTAGGACAGTACTGATTTATTCAAGAAGGAGCATGCTATTATCAGCCACTGTTGGAGTCCTGTGTCCTTTTGGAAACAACACAAAGCTAAGAGTTTTATTTCTTTTGTTCCATTCTACATATTCTCCCCCTGTCCTTCAGAAGCCTATGGAGGACTGAACAGAGTTTTGGGTGCTGCAGGAGTAAGTTAATGTTTAAATCATTACCTTTCATTTTCTCAGAAATACTTCTTCAGAATTGCTGCTTCAGCTGCCATTTCTTCTTCTGTCCTCCACTTGTCAGAGGAATCCTCTTTGTCATGTTGTTGCAACTTTTTTGAAGGAGAAATAAGAGAAAAAAACAGTTGGTTTTTTTTTTTCCCCAGTTTCATTGTCAAATTCAGGGCATGCCTGTATGCAACTAATATAACTATTCCGTGTGTCCATGGGATGGAGGCACCTGGAGATGAAGAGATGAAGGGTGAAGGTTACTGGTTTGGAGTGGTGACAGTAGTTAACTGGCTCTGAGGGATTTATGAAGATAACACAAGGTGCCAGGGTGATCGATAGGCAGTGATGGAGTTCACCTATGTGAGCTGATGGTCAGATACCTTATGAGTTTTTGATGCAAAGCTGGTGGGTAATAGGATAGCAAACACACTCAGGTATTCCGAAGGGCCTGTTACATCCATTGAGTGAGCTAGGCAGAAGCTGCCTGGACACCTTGTCCGTAATTCATGTAAAATTTTCTTTCTGGGTTTTCCTCTGCCCATGAGGCCACCTTTCCCATCAAAGACCTATTGTGATAACAAGGCCCTGTTGCGGCTGTTTCCCATTGACAGCTTATACCAGCAGTTTTCAGAAGAGATACGTTCCCTCCCTGCTTGCAAGTCGTTAGTCCTTCCTTGCCTTTGTTGAAAGCGAGACGCATCCCTAGTCTAGAAACAAAACTTGTTCTTTTCAGCGCAACTATATTTCATTGGTGATTTAGTGGGGAAAAATATCAAAAGTATGTGAAACAGATAATTTGTGCATCTAGTTGGCGTCATATGCCCACAAAAACAAGTTATATCCCATATGCAGTAAGTATTAAGTGTTATTATCTCAGACATGATGATTTCGAACACATCCTTTGCCTCTCCAGAAGAACAGAGAAACTAATGGTTTGCCCCTCTCCAGAAGACGCGAGTTCTATTTTATGGTAAATATAATGTGCCAGCACTCGAGTGACTATTTGTACACGTGTCCACTCAAAGAATGCCTGCCACTCATCAAGGGAAGATGACATTTACAACAGACAGCAGAAACGTTTGCATTAATGGCCTAAGCACTGAGATTTCCAGTGTGTCTCTAGGTACAGAGCACAGCACAGATTGTATTAACAGCATCAGTACTTCTGAAGAAAATGGTAATATAAACCTTATATAAATGAATTTACACCTTTTGTTCCCGGACAAGTTTTAGTACAGAAGATGAAGCAGTGAAAAACAAAGATGAAACAATACTGAACCTGCCAAGCAAACTGCATTACTGTGTATGGCATGTTTAGCAATAAACTAGGATTGTTAGCATACATCCAACTCACAAATACTTTTATTTGTGCTGTGTTTCTCCTACTCTGAATTTTGCTGCCAGCTATAGTCCTATGTAGTTTTACATTCTGCAGCACAGATTTCTTCCAGCTCAGCAGATGAAGCTGCATTAGAAAGCTATTTCCTTTCATGCCAATACGACACAGTAGCTGTAGGCAAATTAAAGCGTATTACAGTTCCACTAGTAGAGGACTAATCTCCATTGTTACATTAGCTCTAGGTGTGTTATAAATCCATCTCGTAATAATGCTACAGTATTATGGAGAAAGATTTAAAAGCCAAGAACAGTGTATACGCTGTGCCACACACCCTTTGCGGCCATGTGCCTGCTCTCACCCACTGTATACACCTATATGGTGTATAGGTACCACAGCTGAGCTGGCAATGAGAGGGAGTCATAGGAAACAGCATACATCATCCTGTACTTTCCATGGACTGCGAGCGCTTACACTTCACAAGAGGATGCACCAGGATGAGCCAAGTGGTGGTAAATCAATTGTCTGTCTGAGGTGTGAGCTGTTTTTTTAAAAAAGCAATGTCTTGCTCATTCGACCTAGCATCAGCAGGAGATACAGCAGACAACAGCTAGGAGGCAAGGGAGGGCAGCCCCTGTTCCTCAAGGTCTCCTTGTTTAACCTGCAAGAAGTGCTTTTAGTGACATGATTTGGCTGCTGTTCTCCCTTGCTATCCTGTTTCTGCACAGCCCAAGTGAGAGCTGACTCCAGGAGGAGACTAGGGAAGTGGGGATTTGACTTGTAGTTTTTATTTTTATTTTCCCCATTTAAAGAAACTGAAGTAAACAGTAATAGGGGGGCATATCCTGAAATGGCTGTTGTCTGCATTAAAACTGTGTGAAGTCACAGACCATGATGACTTCTTAAAGCTGGCAAAAGAGAGGGTTTCTTTTGCTACATAACTGCTAACCTTTAAAAATAATCAATCTTTGACTTAAGGTTAAAACAGATACATGGGGAGCAGCAATGAATTCTGAAACTTGCCTGGAAACCCAACCTAGTTGAGCAGCCCTGGTTCCTGGTACGCAGCCCACGGTGCTGCATAGCAAGCCCTGGCCTGGCAGGAAAGTGCTCAGCAGAGCCTCACCATGCCCTGCTGCAGCAGGAGTTCATGTGCCTCTCATACAGAAAAGCCTTATCCACATTTTGTGGACACTCTGGGTATGATGAACAACAGACCGCAGCGTTACATCACTGCCATGACCAATGCATTCGTTGTTCAACTGACTTATAGATGAATAATTTCAGTATAAAATTGCTATGTCCACCCAAACAGGATCCCAGGACCTCAAACCTCTTGCTGCATGAAGTGCAATAAGCTGTTAGCATCCCAATGCCACTTAGTTTCTGATATTATCTAACCACCACTGTGGAGATTTGGAAAACTGCCTCGGGTGGCTGCCTACCCTTCTCTGCTACCACCATCCTGCAGCTCCACTACAAACCAAAACAAATAGCCGGCCCCTTGGAATGACAACACTTAAATTATGGATAACCGTGCTGGAGGATGTTCTGGATACTAAATATTATGCAGGTTCAAGATCAACAGTACCAATAAATGGAAGATAAATAAATTAAGGGCTGCTGATACCACCCTAGTTCAGAGAGTCTGCATGCCACAAATTAATGGGGACATATCTGTGTACCTGCCTTGTTCTTCAAATCTTTTCTTAGCATCTGCTAGTGGTCTCTAGTAGTAACAAGATATTGGTATCATGGATGGGTTTGGTTTCAGCTAGTTATTTCACGTGTTCTTATGTAAGGTACTTTTCAATCAGGTTCAGATCTCCATGTGAGGGCATCAGTAAGCAAGAGCTACTTTATTTAAACTTTTCTCCGTAGTATTTTGGCTGAGTTGGAAAGCTACTTTCAAGGGAGGAACAACATACATATTTCAGTATTAGATTGTACTGGTTAGAAACCAGGTGGGAAACAAACATAACAGCTGATACTTGTTTCTAAGGGACTTTGGTGCCTGGGAGTGTTCATATTAACACGCACATGCAAGTCCCAACCGTGCATCTTTACGAACATCTGACATCCTATTGAAAGTTTGGATTATACAGGGGAAGCAATGCTTTCCTGCACCTGGAGAACACTCCAAGTTTCTGCTCAAAGGGAAAAAAGAAATCTCTATATTTGCCAGCTATCCATCCGTAAAAACTAGCAATTTCCCCTTGTTTTTTCCCCAGTCAGAAAAAGCTGGAGAACTTGAGCCGACACCCTTACTTAGATAGAGATATTCAAAGACAGACTAGCTTGAAGTCTGTGATACTTTCTGTACAACAACTCTACTTCTGCAAGCTCTGAAAAGAAAAACAGTCTTATCCAGAGCCCCGTATCATCTGCTTCACATGATTTTCTGTGAGAGATGATTTGCCCAGATTTCCCTGGTGGAGATTGGCTGATCCACATCCTCTCAAAACCACTTTTGCTACCTTCTTCACAGTTCCTGGGACAGGACTTCCATATTAACCAAAGGTCCCTGAACAACAACTGTTGCCCTTCTTGCAATGAATGCTTCTAGAAGAAATGTCTCACTTTCAGAATCCCTTTCCAAGTACGTGTGTGCATTTCCAGTTGTGGTAAGCAGCTGCTTTTTCAAGTGAAATGAAAATAGCACACGGTGAAGTTACAAGAGTCACCTCTGTGCAAAACACTGAAGTAAAAGGGGCAGGTTTTTCTCAGGGTCTTTCAGGGACATCCATGAGGTGTTGGGGCCACCACCAGGGGCTTTTGCAGAGCTCTGCAGGCACACTCGGCTCTCTTGAGTGCTCTCTTTGATGGATAACAGGAGACTTCTTGTCTCCCCTGAAGCCCAGGTTCCCTGTAGATGTGGAGCAGAAGAGTAGGGAAGCACAGCCTGTTCTCAGCAATGTTATGGTAATGTTCTGTACATTTAAAAAAAAAAAAAAAAAAAAAGAAAATATAAACTCTGTGTGATATGAATGAATGATATATCAATGATAACAATGAATACCAAATTACAAGGGATGGATCTCTATGGTGTTTTATACTGATATGAGCTTCATTTCCTAATTCTAACCAAATCCTTCCATTCCAGGCTGCACCCCAGGAAGGAAGAAGCATTTCTTGGTATCTGGGCAGCAATTCCTCCTGCAGGACATAGCACAGGTGCTGGGAGCGGGGTCTGCGGCACTGCAGGCATAGACAGGGAAGGCGGCAGTCTATAAAACCTTTTCCATAGAGCTCCAAGCTAGTTACCATTTTAGAACTGCTAGCACTTTGCCCGTTATCACAAGAGAAAGGTGATGCAAAAGCACCACACCAAATAGACAAGATGTTCTACTGCAAAACTCAGAAAGCCCCAAATTCCCTGAAAGCCAAGCTCGTTGTTGTATTACAGGAGTGTTTTGTTAATGCATAAGCATTAACAAAAAGGTAAGCAACCAGATTAGTGTAGCTCAGATAAGTCCAAAAGGAGAGGATAGGATGGGAGAGCATGAACATTTCTTTTAGACAATCTCTATTATGCTAACTCTTTCTTTTAATATTCTGAACAAGCACCGAGACACACATTAGTCAATTCTCTAATCGCAGTTGCCCAGCAAATTACACACTGTATCTGTTCAACATTCTTCAAGCACTAAGACTCTTGTTTATAACTTAGTACATCTTCTTGCCTTGCAGTACAAATAAACGCACTATTTCTAAGATGTGCCCTTCTTCAAGCAGATCATTACTGATGTCTGACTTCTTGGGCTT